TGGGATGGGATGGGAATGGAATGGGGATGGGATGGGATGGGAATGGGAATGGGTTTGGACTGGGAGTGGGATGGGGTGGGAATGGGATGAGGTAGGAATGGGACTGGGAATGGGATGGGATGGGACTGGGAGTGGGATGGAACTGGGAATGGGATGGAACGGGGGATGGAATGGGATGGAACTGGGACTGGGAATGGGATGGGATGGGACTGGGAATGGGTTTGGACTGGGAGTGGGATGGGGTGGGAATGGGATGAGGTGGGAATGGGACTGGGAATGGCATGGGATGGGACTGGGAGTGGGATGGAACTGGGAATGGGATGGAAATGGGGTGGGGTGGGAATGGGTTTGGACTGGGAATGGAATGAGGTGGGAACGGGATTGGACACAGAATGGGATGGGGATGGGAATGGGAGTGGGATTAGGATAGGAATGGGAGTGGGATGGAACTGGGAATGGAATGGGGTGGGAACGGGATGGGATTGGGAATGGGAGTGGGATGGGACTGGGAGTGGGGTGGGATGGGACTGGGAATGGGACTGAGATGGGACTGGGAATTGGAAAGAAATGGGATGGGCTGGGACTGGGAATGGGGTGGGGTGGGAATGGGACTGGGAATGGGATGGGATGGGATTGGGAGTGAGATGGAACTGGGAATGGAATGGGATGGGATGGAAATGGGATGGGATGGGATGGGAATGGGTTTGGACTGGGAATGGGATGGAGTGGAAATGGGACTGGGAATGGAGTGGGATGGGACTGGGAGTGGGATGGAATTGGGAATGGGATGGGATGGAACTGGGAAGGGACCGGATCCCGTGACCCCAGTGTCACATTTTGGGATGCAGAACGGCACCAAACCCACCCCCCCGGACCCCCCCCCCCAACCCCCCGACCCCATGGAGCTGTGGGACGAGGCGGATGGGGAGCAGGAACCGCTGGGGGGCAGCGAGGAGGAGGAGGAGGATGGCGCAGGGATGAAGGGTAGGGGTTGGGGGTCCTCTATGGGGTGGGGGGCTGCTATGGGGTTGAGGGAGTCATCTGTGGGGCTGGGGGTCCTCTATGGGGCTGGTGGTCCTCTATGGG